TTTCAAATTCTGTCAGGTACCTCGACGATTGATCACCTAGAAAACCAGGTAAAAAAACAACAGACATTTACACAACATATTACCGGTATTACGAGCTCCAACAAGACAATCTATACGAGACAGAAACAATCCCACAAAGAAATTAATTAAACCATCAGCTATCCAATCATTTCAGTTCCATCAAATGCTATCATAATATTGTATGAACATTTTTTCTCCCAATCATTACAAACATCGAGTTGAATCGTGGTGTAATCGGAAACAATAATGTCGTCCGTTTTATACATAAAAGTATCTCTAGCTTTTCATCTCATTATGCCCGATAGGTAAAAAATGTTAATGACAGATTTTTTTATCAGATCCATATTGTTACGAGGCAGGCTACATTAATATCAAACACGTATTTTCACTTGCAGGCATGCCACGTTGTTCATTAAAGTCAACAGCGTGTGACACAGCCTTTTCCATATGTTAAATCACTCTGCATTTGTTAACAAAGGCCATCGTTTCAACTCTTTGTGATATTTCAACCACGCCTTCAAACACCCGACATTTTCCCGAGGTAAAACTTTCAAATCGTCTCATCTTATCTCCATAAATGTGACCCCAGGTACCAAAGACCACGTTATAAATATCCCTGTTATTTTACAAACGTTTTATCCTGTCGTGCTCAGGGCTGTGTAAGGTTATATATTGGCTTGAGTAGTTAAAGGTAAAATGTTTAAACGAGGAATGATTCAATAGAAACAGTGGAGGCCTTAAGCCTAAAGTCAACAAATACACCACATAGTTGCTATGATAGGCCATTATTAAAATGGGCTGGATGAGTGGTAATCTCCTAGCCATTGATGGGTCGAGATTTTTATGACAAGGTGCCACCTGGAGGGGAATAAATTTCATGCTACTTTGGTTCATATTTCTCAAAAACTTTACGCTTATTACTACAATAATAGAATCTAATATGTACCTGTACTACTACATACACGTATGTCTTTGTTTGCCAATTTTATTACAAGATTGCTATAAATAGCATGAAAGAGATATAGACAGGTGTTGATATAAAAGGAACAATTTTCTTTTACTTTTAAATTGTTCAGTGATGAGTAGCATATATTGTTAATTTCAAAATGAACTTTTTATACTTTTTTACATTTTGAATTTACATAACATACATTTACAAGCTTTCAATATGGCATACATTTGTACCTACAAATGTATTTAATACTTGTCATTGAAATACTTGTAACATGTACAATGTACAATGTTCATGTATGTACATCAATTGATTTCTCCAACACAAAGAAATTTAGCAGTTAAATTTCAAGGTATTTTCTTCCAAAGTATTCAATTTTTACAATGAACTCTTTATACACCCAGTCACTGAACATTGTTTGTACATTGTATTTACAAAATAGGAATTTAAAAAGATTTAAATGTTCTTGCTAAATATAAAAAAAAGTTGTGTTTAGTTTTAAAACAAATAAGCCCTTAAGAGGAGTTTGACTTTTTCATGTCAGAGAAATTTGTTTTTTAAAACTGAGAAAAAAAAAATGGAATACATATATATATACACGTTCTTTCATGTGGTCGAAGTGAATTTGTATTTGATGGCCTCTGGGTAGATTAGTGTAAACTAAATGAGTAGCTTTCTTTAAAGATTGCTCATTATTATTCTAATTATGCAATTATGTACATACAGTTTACAATATATTATCTAGGTTTCCAATAACCATTTCAATAAATGTATGTATTATATACATGTAAACAAGCTACATACTATTTGCCTTATTTATTCACCCCACCCCTATTTATCTCTAACAAATTTTTTTTAGTAATAAACATACATGCACAACCATTATATACATATACTTTTGTTTACTTTTGAAACAGGTTTTTCTAAATTATATGTTTCATGAGTTAATAAAATCAACCATTTGTATTTTTATAAAGGAAGACGAAAAATCATACAGGAATTCTTGAAGTTAATCTTCTTACTCTTTAATAATTTACACTTTACAACCATTTTTTTTAGTAATAAACATATGATAATTATACATTTCAAAAATGAGTAAAATCAACCATTTGTAAGTGGCAGACGAAAAACCAAACAAAATTCCATGAAATTAATCAAACCCTTATCACTACGAAATATCAACAGAACTTTAGGGCAATTTACAATGTTGATCTTGTTTGATTGTCAATTGTAAAAAAAATGAAAGGCTAATCGATTCACTGCCTGACACGATCGTGAAAATCAAATATATTTTTATGACATGTGATTACGACTATTTTATTGAATTGACCTTTGAGTTCTAGTTCGAATTTAAAGAATACAGGACTTGTATCTCAAGTGTGAAAAAATATGTCCCTGGCCATGCAACATCTTGTGTAATGAATGGTTGGTTAACAGTCGATTGACTTAAAAAAATTATAAAAGGATTTTTTTTATGGTAAATAATATCTTTGTAAATGCAATAATGTACATGTCATTTTCATAATACAAACTTCAGGAAATTTTGTTTTCTTTAAAAGAAATAAAAAACATTAGCACATATTGAGTTTGCCAAACTTGCAACTTTGTAAAAAATTTTACATGTTGATATAAAAATTACCATAAAAACATTCAAAGTTAAAAATTATTTTTTTTCAATTATTTACAAGTTCAAAGCTTTGATGTGACCGTGACTAATCTTAACCACCTGCATTTAGTTTCCTCTTTTTACTATTAAAACAATATATGCATTGCTAGTTTATCTTTTCAACAAATTTGTTTATTAAACATTCAGCATGTAAAACAGACATGTAATTTCACTTTTTTCCATGAAATGTACACAAACATGGTTTCTAATAAATGACAAAAGCCCCATATTTCTCATTTACTGACTACAAAATCATAAAAATATTGTTTACCAACCACCCCCACAACTATCCATACGAGACTAATTGTCAAAATCATTTAGCGGACCAAAGAAATAGTGATAGAAAAAATTCTCCAAATTTACTCAGGCATGAAGATCATAAACACAACAAAAACGAGAGTTTTATTAGTTTTACTGTTCACCTTTCACAGTGGTGGTCATCTTTAGACCAGGTGACTTTATAGCAATATAATTATCTGACCAGATGACCTTACATGGCCCAGAATAGATTGGCAGTTCACTGAACTTCCAATTTCCCCCTGACAATGAAATTTGCATTATTTATTCATGTACTTGTACCTATATAGGTAGGGACCTTTGATTAATACTCTGTATATACATTTTGTATATATATATATTGAATATATTAGATTTGAGCCAGAGTTCAATAAAGGTGAAATATCGGATCAAAGGAAGAAGTTAACTTTGTAAATTCTTAACTGAAATCAATAATCCTGTATTAGCATGTTACACTTGTCAAATAAAATTGTCCAAGAGAATGGAAAAAGGGGAATAACTCTATTACTCTGAAATTTTTTTTTTTTTTAGAAAAAAATTAATATAAAATTAGAAACCTTTTCTTAATAAATGACTTGTTTCTTAAATCAAGGAATTCTTTTCTTTAATCAAATCAAATTTTTATATCATACTTTTCTGTTGACCAATGTTTAAATTTCAATTAAAATTTAAAATGCAAAATTAATCATATTTTATATGCAAATTAATATAAAGTTTTGTCATATTTCATCATTTAACACTTTTTTTTAACAAATCAAATAATAACTTCATGAATAAATATTTTTGACTTACCAAAATTTACATATCAGATGCAGAATTGATTTTTAATTGCCATGTATGGTCAACTGTTTTAATAAATTCCTTTGTTTTATTTGAATATTATAAAAATAAAGTTAACAGAATCATAACTAACTTACTGGTTGCGGAGTTTCACACACTTTATTTAAATTATACCAATAAATGAAAATTTATCTCCACTCAAAATATGGATGTAAACAAGACTAAATCCATGTCATTGACAATAGCCCTTATTACATAACTGTGTAAACATTTTATCAATCCAATGGACAAAATTAAAACCTTTATTGATTGAGTGATAATAGAAATTACATCACAAAGAAGTCTAGAAATGACCAGGTGTCTGAAGATTTTTAATGAAAGGTCTATTAGTCTGTATTTCACACATTAAACACATATTTGCGAACTATGATATGGAAAATGTTTATTTACCTACTTTGTTAAGTTTAGAGTATCTTATGCAACTTTTACAGACTTTATTGTACATGTTATGCGAGAACATTGGTCAGTTAGTATTTTCTTTTCAAGGTTAATTAACCTTTCTCAATTACAAGTGATATTCCATTTGAAACTAATTATCAAAACACCCAAGAATTATCCCCAGTCCCTACAAATTTCATATAGCATCTTGGTAGACAAGTAGTTTTTTTTATACCATCTTGTTTCCAGAACTTGTACCATGACACCAATATAACACAACCCATATGAGATAGAAAAGTTAGTCAAGCAATGATGCTAAAAAGGTTCCGAGTTGAACACTACCTCAGCTTTCAAGCAGGTGCATCTTTAAACTGGAGCTACATGTACATTTGTACAATTTACATGTACATCATGCATAATTAATGTCATAAACTTGTATCTTACAAGTACATGTATATCCAATTAACCTTTTTGCACCAAAAAATGGCAGTTAATTATAAACCTGTAAATTAAGTACCAAATGTCTCTAGGTTTGTGTCAAAAGTCTGTGTATAAAGAGTAATAAATGTGACTAAAGGCAGTAAAGCATATCCTACATGTAGTCCATGATTTCATATTCATAAACAAATAAACATTTCCCTCTTGTAAGTTTCTTACATTTACATGGCAATTTTCGGTTGACATGTATATTGAACTCCATTTAGACATTGCCCAACACATTACTGACATAAATTATCTCTTATCGCGTTTAGATAAAAACAAAAAAAATAGTTTATAATGTCAGCTGGATAATTTTTGATTCAGCAAGTTTTGAAAAGTGTCAAGTGTACAAAGTAAAATCCCTACCTGTTTTGCCCTTTTAAATTTAAGGAACGAATCCTGTAAGCTTGACTTGGTGCCATTTCCAAAATCTATGGTAAATGCTTCTTTCCGCTGAGTTTTCTTAATGCCATGTGCGTTCTGTTGTTTGTTCGAGTCAATGACATTGTCAGCCATTTTGCCAAAGGAATGTTCTGAATTTTTGGAATCAAGCGTTTTTAAATTTTGAAATGTCCCAAGGCCTCATACGATATTCAAGTGTCACGGTGTTTTACATGCAAATTTTACGTCACCGGTTATAACAACAAAACGTGTTTGCATCATTGTTTTCAGACAGCGCCTTGACGATTTCAAAACACCTGTTTCAAAAGAGGAAGTTACCGGTGCGTCGGTTGGTTACAGTCAGTTGGTTAACCCAATCAAATATTCTGTTACATTTGTTTGCCGCGGTAAATTTTTCAGAGGTTCAGAACAGGATAATGCTATAGTGTTTTTAAAATTCGTAAAATTCGTAAAAGTACAGGAAATTTATAAATACCAGTTTTCTTTGAAATATACAAAATTAGTTAAAAGATTACAATTGCTAGTATTTATCTTTCAACGTGATTTTTTAAAAAAAAAGTCTTTATTCGAATACCGCACAACTGAGAAATCAGTAATTTAAAAAATAACCAGACTTTGACGAGTTTCAGCCATAATTGTAAAGTTCACAAACAAACAAAGAATTCAAATAGTAAGAAACTATACACAAATTATTCTGAATGTGATAGTTTAAAAAACCGTGAAAATGATTTTTTTTTTAATTCAAGTACCAACTATATATCAATTTTGGTTCAAAAACTATGATACGACTTAAAAGATACACGACAACCATTAAAATAAATGTATTTACATACGTTTTATTGCTCAACAACAGTTTATGCCATTATTGAAAGTCTAAAATTCGTAAAAGTACAGGAAATTTATAAATACCAGTTTTCTTTGAAATATACAAAATTAGTTAAAAGATTACAATTGCTAGTATTTATCTTTCAACGTGATTTTTAAAAAAAAAAGTCTTTATTCGAATACCGCACAACTGAGAAATCAGTAATTTAAAAAATAACCAGACTTTGACGAGTTTCAGCCATAATTGTAAAGTTCACAAACAAACAAAGAATTCAAATAGTAAGAAACTATACACAAATTATTCTGAATGTGATAGTTTAAAAAACCGTGAAAATGATTTTTTTTTAATTCAAGTACCAACTATATATCAATTTTGGTTCAAAAACTATGATACGACTTAAAAGATACACGACAACCATTAAAATAAATGTATTTACATACGTTTTATTGCTCAACAACAGTTTATGCCATTATTGAAAGTCTAAGATTACTTCAAAAATGTAAAACATGCCATGCCTAAAGAGAAATGTATATATTTATATTATATAAAAGCAAAAATACATTAGATTTACGAATAGTTCATAGACATTAACAAACTGTTATCGTTTTTGAAGGAAGGTGGTTTGGGAGGGGGGACATTGCACAGACTTCATTTTTCTCTTTTGTGTTTTGTAGATTGTTGTTTGTTGTTTGTCTCTTGAGCGTTTTTTTTTTTATCTTGGCGTTAGTTGATCTTTGACTTCCGAGTTTTAATATCCCTTTGGTATCTTTAGCCTCTATATACATTGTTATATAAAAAATATATAAGGTTTTTAATTCTTATACATAAAATCAGGGTTTTTTTGGGGGGAAGAGGGGGGTTAAAAGTTCAAATTACTGGCAAGATAACTGAAGAAAAGGAATGAAACATTTTAACTACAGAAAATGCCGGACTGGTACTGGTCATATTTCTGATCCATAACTTTCATGAATAATTTTAAAATAAAGTTAATTAACAAAAATACCGAACTCCAAGGAAAATTCAAAACGGAAAGTCCCTTATAATCAAATGGCAAAATCAAAAGCTCAAACACATCAAACGAATGGAAAACAACTGTATTACCGACTTGGTACAGGCATTTCCTTATGTAGAAAATGGTGGATTAAACCTAGTTTAATAGTTAGCTAAACCTCTTACTTGTATGACAGTCACATAAAATTATGTGAGAGATAACGGTCAATAAAACGAAAGGGTATATTTATATGTATATGAAGATATCTGGCGTCATTAGTGAGGTTATCATATAAAAATATCGTCAAATTCCATTTAATTAAAATTCGATTTAATTCTTTTATTTTCATTTATTCATAAGCATACTCTTAGTCTATATTCTAATCAATCAGAAAATCAATTACAACACAAACACACAGTTATCGCCCTTTTGGTAGAATTTGACAGGCAAATTTTAAAAGTAATATAATGGTAGAGAAGCCTGACCATAAAATGATATTTGAAATTGTCTTGTTTTAACAAACAAATCAAGCTGAAGATTATAATTATCAGATACCATAAGTCACCTAAGTACTAGTACTACAGTCCCCCTTAAGAACAGAAAAAAAATTAATTTATAGGTCAAATTACAGTCATTTTTGTTTGTCAATATATGGTCCTCTTACTCTTAATTCTCAGGAGCGCTAACATAAAGTTCTGGATCCTCGCCTGTTCTACATTAATTATTATAATTTGATTCAATGAAGCATGACACAGTAAATCGTTTTCCTAAATCATAGACGGTCAAAACGTCGAACTGTCTATTTTTAAAAGAACTTAGTACAACAACAAAAAAAGAATCTTCCCAAATAGTCCTTATATTTATTCATTTAATTTTTATTTAATCGACTATTTTTTATTTCTCAATATAAAAAAAATAACTGAGAATTCAGACTTGGCATGTTCCAAAAAATGGGTTCGTGTGTCTTCAAATAATCGAATAATACTAATAATAATGCAAAAATACCTACACCTTATTCAAGAGATTCAAACGAAGCCGTTTGATGAGCAAATCTACCTTCACTTATAATGCCAATGTTTTATTGCATTCGCTTAAACATATTTTATTTGCAAAATATCGCAAAAAGGATAAGACACAAGTAAGTCCAACTTAGAATGCATTTCTGACTATATGTAGTATTACGTTATGAAATACCTACATGTACATTTCATAGTCTTTATATTAACCCTCAGTTATTTTCTCAACAAAACCACATCAAAAGTTTTTTTTTTTTAAATAATACATCCCCGATAGTTATTAATCACGTTTCTATATATTATAATTTTCTCATATCTGTTGAATTTAGCTATACATCCATTTTTCACGCCTCCCTAATCCACACACGTTTTAAAATACCATCTTCTTTGTGGCTGAAAAAGGAAAAGCTGGTAGCCCGTGAAAGTTACTCAGCCCATTATATTGATACCAAATAATTACTTATTTAATAATGTTGAAATATCTGCATGAATAGAAAGGTATATACATGTAAATGGTATATTTGTATATGCACGTAACATATATGGAAGTAATACAAATCGTTTTCAATAAATTACAAAACTCTAGATATCTTCCATTCGCACCCACCTGTAAAGAAATAAAATTATGTTCAAAGTGTCTAGGTCGGGTCTACATCCCACACATCTAGGGTTTTAGGAGTGCATTGTTGGTAGAGAGCATTTCACAACCGAACCGTCTGGATGATATCATGACGAGTCATAATCTATAGACCGATACAAATAATTTATAATACTGCAGCAAGCGTCTGGACAGGGGGCGAGAGATAAGTCAACAGGATCCTTTGACTGAACACATGGTACAATATTGCAGCATACAACACGTGCGTCAAAGAACACGTGTTGCCGACTGTGGCGGATTGACCACATTTTAAACATCCTTCATTCATTATAACAAACTGTTAACATGAATTAAAAGAACAGAAAAAAATCACCAACGACCAGCTATTCTTCGTGGTATTAAACCTAAAATAATTTTTCAGTAAACAAGGACGACATCGGCTACTCGAAATCGTTTGGTTTATTAATTTCTTGATCATCATAATTTCCCACATTCTCAAAGAAAAGCTGAACATGGCTGTGCAACGAAAAAAGAATGCAGAAATTTAAGAACACAACATATCGTAGAAAAATCGGCAAAAAAGCAAATGATGCAACTAAGTTTGAAATCAATTATGAAACTATCACAGTAGCAGAAATATGAATAATAGGTTGTGAATCTAAAAGAGAGTCAAAAGATATCGAAGGGACATTCAAACTCATAAGCCGAAAAACAAACTGACAATGCCCTAGCATAAAACCAGAATTAAGGACAACTAAACTCTTACTTTGCAACGCATACACGAAAATTACCAATAGAGAGTGACTAGATATTCATTATCACCATGTGTTTACAAATTCTTTCCAATACTTTTCACATTCTATCATGCATTAATTTTATAGCAGATGTGGTACACTGAAGAATGAACAGGTTTCAAATGGGCTAACTGAAGCATAAACAACCATTTAAAAAGGTCTCGCCTCTTAATTTCCAGGATAGATTAATACTCAGTTCAAATATTCCATTTGAACATGAAGAGGACAACAGAACATACTAGTATCTGAAGAATTCGGTATTTTTCGTAACTTAAAATCGCTACATTCTAAGCTAGACGATGTGTTTATTCAAAAAGATCTCTAAAGTGAAACAATAGTTCATGGATCTGAGAAACCTTATAATCTAGAAGTTAGCAAGAAGTCAATAAAACATCATAAATTCTATTACCAAGTTTAAAAGTGCAAGACGAAAAAGCAGACAACAGTTCAGAACGCTATGAGATTTAGCACACACTGCGAAAAGGGGTTAACAGTCCCTCCCTGTTACACTCGTGACATCCCTCGCACTGTTTGTATAAAACAAACTCACGAGTATTTTTCAGTTTTGTAGCAAGCTATTGAAAAGAAAAACTGATGAAAGGTTTAGTTTCATTAAAAAAATAGCTCTTAGCAATCATCTTTCTCACTAGTATGTCTTTTGCAACAGTTACATACTTGACATCAAACGATGCTTACATTAATGCCTTCTTTAATGAATCTTAAGATGAAATATGATACTCAGCTGGACAGTTCTAGGATCAAAGAAGAGTTAACAAAGGTTTAGTATATATATCGCATATATATGTGTGTGATTCAAACTGTACCAAGATCAATGGAAAAATCAGTCTTTTGTGTTTGTAATCTAATAAAATTGCCGAATTCACACGTATACAGTGTTTTTGATGAAAGTAAAATCAAGAAAAGTGCTTCGGATGCACTAAAATATTAAATGGTTATTTCCATTTACAGACCTCAAAGGGAACACAGATGAACCAGACCAAGCATAATTTTAAAGAAGATTTGAAAAAGAGAGGCGAAAGATACCACAGGGACATTCAAACGCCATGGCAAAAAAAAAGACAAATATCAAAGACAAACAACA